CAACCTTAACCGCTCCCAGCCTACGGTGATAACCGCCTCCCCTCCCCGCCGTATGAGCAAAGGTCAACGCTGCTCACAAAACGCTCACGGGAAGGAACCTGCGGAGAGATCGAGGATATATGAGCTTTATGGAAACCTTCGTTAAGGAGATAAACCACTAAAACCACCCCGAAACGTCCTCCTCCATCCCCCACCATCCCCCCCCCCCCCAAGACCAAGCAAGTGGGACGTAGAAAACTGGGCCATTTGACGGCCAACTGCGGCAAATCTGGCATCGCCTCCTTGGCAGTTTGGCGGGCGCACTAAAGATCATTTCCTGAGTCACTCGTAAAGTTAAAACTTCACTTTGCGGTATGAGCGTCTCGAGGGGTTTACTGCCGGCCGCCTGGTGTCATCTTCGGCGGGTTTCTGGCTTGTTGGTTCATCTGAAGCTGCAGGGGGTCCGTCACCTGGCCAGGTGTGGGAGTGCCAGGTGTGGGAGGGTGCCAGGTGTGGGAGGGTGCCAGGTGTGGGAGAGTGCCAGGTGTGGGGGAGTGCCAGGTGTGGGAGTGCCAGGTGTATGAGAGTGCCAGGTGAGGGAGAGTGCCAGGTGAAGGAGTGTGCCAGGTGTAGGAGTGTGCCAGGTGTGGGAGGGGTGCCAGGTGTGGGAGTGCCAGGTGTGTGAGAGTGCCAGGTGTAGGAGAGTGCCAGGTAGTGAATGGTGGAGGGAAAAACAGAGGAGGAGATGAGGAGCAGGGGGGGGTGTGGGGTTGTGGGGGTTGGGGGGAGTTAGGATATTAGTGGTCCATAGTAGTAGTGTGAATGGTGTGTTTGTAGTGGTTGGGGGTTGAAAGTGGCACTGGTGGCAGCAGATGTCTCAGTGGCAGGAATGGGGAAGGAGGGAGTGAGAGAGAGAGAGAGAGAGAGAGAGAGAGAGAGAGAGAGAGAGAGAGAGAGAGAGAGAGAGAGAGAGAGAGAGAGAGAGAGAGAGAGAGAGAGAGAGAGAGATTGGCTTAGCTCATTTCACACGGAAATGAATGAACAATGTTTGTATTCAAGTGACAGTGTTAGCATCTCCGTCTCCAAGCGAACATATCTCTGTCAGTCATTGCTCATCGCCACACGCACACGCACTCGCGCGCGCACCCTCGCGTCGCTGCACTTGGATACACACAGTTTGAGAGGAAAGCAGTGTAACAATCATTGATGTCACCAAGAGCGAGCTTGAGGTCATCAATTGCGTTCTTGAGGTCATCAATTGCGTTCTTGAGGTCATCAATTGCGTTCTTGAGGTCATCAATTGCGTGCTTAAGGTCAACAATTGCGTGCATGAGGTCATCAATTGCGTGTTTGAGGTCATCAATAGCGTGCTTGAGGTCAACAATAGCGTGCATGAGGTCAACAATTGCGTGCTTAAGGTCATCAATTGCGTGCACGAGGTCATCAATTGCGTGCTTGAGGTCATCAGTTGCGTGCATGAGGTCAACAATACCGTGCTTGAGGTCATCAATTGCGTGCATGAGGTCATCAATTGTGTGCTTGAGGTCATCAATAGCGTGCATGAGGTCATCAATTGCGTGCTTGAAGTCATCAATTGCGTGCTTGAGGTCATCAATTGCGTGCTTGAGGTCATCATTTGCGTGCTTGAGGTCATCAATTGCGTGCATGAGGTCATCAATTGCGTGCCTGAGGTCATCAATAGCGTGCTTGAGGTCATTAATAGCGTGCTTGAGGTCATCAATTGCGTGCTTGAGGTCATCAATTGCGTGCTTGAAGTCATCAATTGCGTGCTTGAGGTCATCAATTGCGTGCATGAGGTCATCAATTGCGTGCTTGAAGTCATCAATTGCGTGCTTGAGGTCATCAATTGCGTGCATGAGGTCATCAATTGCGTGCTTGAGGTCATCAATTGCGTGTTTGACTAGCCTGTAAAGTTATTATACCTAGCATCTCTTGAGTCTCATTCTCCATGCAAACAATCTCTGTCAGTTTGTCTGTTTATCTATCGACATCAGTCTATCCATCAATTCGTGTTTATTTTTCCCAGTGGATCGTCACAGTTCATCTCCCCAATGGATCTTCATAGTGGACCACCACATTGGACCACCGCAGTGGACCACCACAGTGGACCACCACATTGGACCACCACAGTTGACCACCATAGTGGACCACCACACTGGACCACCACAGTGGACCACCACAGTGGACCACCACAGTGGACCACCATAGTGGACCACCACATTGGACCACCACATTGGACCACCACAGTGGACCACCACAGTGGACCACCACAGTGGACCACCACAGTGGACCACCATAGTGGACCACCATAGTGGACCACCACAGTGGACCACCACAGTGGACCACCACAGTGGACCACCACAGTGGACCACCACATTGAACCACCACAGTGGACCACCACATTGGATCCCCATAGTGGACCACCACATTGGACCACCACACTGGACTACCACACTGGACCACCACAGTGGACCACCACACTGGACCACCACAGTGGACCACCATAGTGGACCACCATAGTGGACCACCACAGTGGACCACCACAGTGGACCACCACACTGGACCACCACAGTGGACCACCACATTGGACCACCACATTGGATCACCATAGTGGACCACCACACTGGACCACCACAGTGGACCACCACAGTGGACCACCACAGTGGACCACCACAGTGGACCACCACATTGGACCACCACAGTGGACCACCACATTGGACCACCACAGTGGACCACCACATTGGACCACCACAGTGGACCACCACATTGGACCACCACATTGGACCACCACTGTTTTGTATCTCAGTAAAATGTAAACAATTAATCCCAACATTTTCTGAATAAAATCCCAAGCAAAATAATGTTATAAACTCAACATGACAACATAAAACACAAACAAAAACCCGAGACGAAAAGAACAACCCTAAAAATCCCCACAACGAAAAATCTTCAACAAAATATGAAACAAACGCAAACAACGAGAATTATTTTGCTAGACATTTCACTGCACAGTTCTAATATTTGTTGTTGATAATCCAATAATTATAAAAGTTTATGGACACGTTGTCATCTGTTCCGTCCAGCGGTGCCTGTTATGGCCAGAGTTTGTTGATAACAAATGTACAGCTGCTTGGTTCATTATTTGTTTTGACAGTAATGATTGTTGTGAAGGAAATTAGTTCACAATAACGTGGCTGGAGTGACTAACCTTAATCCAACCCCACCCCAACCCCAACTCAACCCAACTCAACCCAACCCTAACCCGAACCCAAACGTGGAAGCCCTCACATGAGAATTAAAAGTAGAGAGACGTTTCGGTCTTCTCTGGCCCCTTGTGCAGGAGTTCCAGGGCTTTTGTACGAAGAGGTTTTTATTGGTACAACTCGTGCTGTTGGAACTCAAAAATATTCAAGTTAAAAAGTACGAATTTAATCTAGGATTAAAAATAGGCATCACTTAGGCTGTCTCACGTGGGAAAGGGGGGGGGGATGTCACACTAGGGGGGTCTCAAAAGTGTGGTCTCACAAGTGGGGTTTCACAAGAGGGGTCACACAAGTGGGGTCACACAAGTGGGGTCTCTTCTATTAGCTATAAATATTTGGAAACAGTTTATCTTTAACACTGCAGATGGAGACCCCAAGGTCTAGTACAACTTCATCCTCGTTATCAACTAATTAACCTACAATGGTTGTGTCACTATGATGCGTTGTATTTACGTGAGATGATATCCACACAAAGGAGACTCCAAACCCTATATACTTTGCAACGATCACGTTAATTACTATTATGAGGATCTTGCTCTCGATCTTGCAGACGTTTTGAAAAGCTTGAAGAGCAAATATGAATTTCAGCAAATTATCTCTTCTCCTTTGTTTTTGTTTTTTTTCTAGTAGACTGGTATTTCTAGTTGGTTGAACTGCAGCTAGTTCTGTTTACTGTAGCCTTCAGCCAGTTGTTAAATCTGACAGTCTGAGTGCAAATATTGTTTCTATAAAACCTGCATACTGCTGCAGTCAGTCTTGTTGACGACTGGACTGGGCCGTCTGTGTAGACACAGGGCTCTATATCTCTATATCTCTATGTCTCTATGAAAGGAATGTCTCACACACATTCCTTTCGCAACAGGAGTTAGAAATTTCTATATTATATACCCAATATTTGGTATCTTTCTTTGATTTTGACTAGTGCCTCTGTTTTCTTTTTCTAAACACGAAATATGTAAATATTGCTCAAGGTTCTCTGTGCTTGTCAGATTACTGTCGTGGACTCGGCAATATTTCTGGTCATTTCCTACACAAGGCAAAATTTTCTGCTCGTTTCAAACACTGGCTGCTGTTATTTCCAACAGGGAACAGTATTTGCTGCATTGTCCTGTTGTGTCGGGTTCACACACACACACACACACACACACACACACACACACACACACACACACACACACACACACACACACACACACATACACACATACACACACACACACAGGTTTCGAGGTCCTCGGGGGCCTCGCAGCTGAGGGGACAGCGCTCTGGGGTCGTAGTCCTAAGGGCCCGGGTTCGATCCCCAGTAGAGGCAGGACCAAATGGGCAGAGTTTCTTTCACCCTAATGCGCTGTTCACCTAGCAGTAAATAGGTACCGGGGAGTTAGGCAGCTGCTACTGCTGCTTCCTGGGAATGTGTTTGTGCGTGGGTTAGAGAAACATATGTGGTAGACATAATAGAGGAAAAAATATTGGTTAGAAAGGCGGGGTCCAAGAGCTAATAGCTCAATTCTGCAGATACAAATAGTAAATACACACATGCACACGCACACAGGAATGTCCCAAAGCTGAGAAGAATGAATATGAGCCTTGCTTAAGCATAACCTTAATAGAGGAGACATGCTCACGGCTTATAAAGTTTTCATGGGAAATGACTGGGTAGACTAGTAGAGGATGTTTGACATTATAATAACACGAACACGAACAGATGGAAACTAAGTAACAATATAAACAAGTCAGATAATATTGTTTTCAACATTATCAAAATAGAGGTAGAAAGAGTTCGGGAATAATTTGCTAAAGGTAAGCTTAACGCAATGATTAGAAGAGTTGATATAACAAGACCTAAAATATATTGTCTATATATTTTATATAAATATATATAAAAGAATGGTTCTACCTCAGTAGAGATCTTTTGCAGAAATGTAGGCTTCAGCATTTGAATAGTTTTCAGGAAGAGGTGCACCTGCATATTCATTAACAGGTTCAGTGGCTACTTTTACAAACTAGCAAGCCAGGTGATTGATGCTTCTTAGTTCTCCTGGTAATTACTCACACAGACTCTGACAATGACACATACGTCATATATGAGTCTCAGAAGAATTAAACAAAAAAGTTGATAAAGAGGAAATGTTCAATATAAGACAGAAAGGAACTAGAGCATACAGAAGGCATCTTAGTAAGCAGATGGGCCGCGTATACAAAGGACCTCTTAGGGTAAGGCTAATGAGCACATGGAATGGACTCAAGAGTGAGACAGAATAAGCTAAAACTGACTTGTAAAGTCTCCAAAATACCCACGACAGGAAATGTGAAGACGTCGCCACAGTAAACAACCGACAGCTGGAATGGCGGGGCTCAGGAGCTCAACCCTGTTAGAACATTAGTTAGATACACAAACGCGCTCACTCGCGGAACACAAATAATTAAGATTTACACTGGAGTTGGAGGGATTACAATCAACGGACCATCAGCAAGGTGTCGTTGTTTTGATACCCACAATCATTATAATTTGTTTGTTTGGTTAATGCAGGTGAGGTGTATTTTGTCTGTTTATTGCTTATGATTGGCTTCAGGTGATTATTCAGGTGTTCGTCAGCTCTCTGATTGTCTGCTCTCTGATTATCTGCTCTCTGATTATCAGCTAATTGTCAGTTCTCTGCTATTTAGAATACTTTTGCAAGTCTTTAGTTCACCGTTTGCCTAGGATCTCAATTTGCTTCGTCCATAGTTTATCTGTTTCTCAGCTTGTCTCTTTCTCAGCTGGTCCACCTCTCAGCTTGCCTCGTCCTCAGCTGGTCCACCTCTCAGCTTGTCTCTCTCTCAGCTGGTCCACCTCTCAGCTTGTCTCTTTCTCAGCTGGTCCACCTCTCAGCTGGTCCACCTCTCAGCTGGCCTCGTCCTCAGCTGGTCCACCTCTCAGCTGGCCTCGTCCTCAGCTGTCGAGTCTGTATAATAAATTACTCGTCTGCCTATTCACAAATCGAGACCCAAACACCGACCAGACCACATACGCACAAACTCGGGTTCTCACACGCACAAACACCTATTTGCATAGTGAATCTAAAGTTGGTAGCGGTGCCACCTCCAGGGAGACCCAGGAAATTATTGAACACAGGGACTTAGAACATTATTGCAGGTTCGTGCTAATAGGTTCTGAGACCCCTGGGAGCCTGGGGTAAATGAGTACCTAATTTCTTGAAGAAGGAGGGTGAGAAACTCATTAGGTAAACCAGAGACTCAAGGGCAGCCAGTTTCTTGTTTCAGTGTCGTGATCAAGAGAGAGGAAATGGTGTGTCTTGGGCACGCAGCCCACCTCTCAAGGGCTGGATGAGGTTTTTGAAGAGTGACTGCCTTACATATATCATTATTGTGTTAGCTGAACACACAGTTAGGGGCCTGGTAGCCTGGTGGATAGCGCGCAGGACTCATAATTTTGTGGCGCGGGTTCGATTCCCGCACCCGGCAGAAACAAATGGGCAAAGTTTTTTTTCACCCTGAATGCCCCTGTTACCTAGCAGTAAATAGGTACCTTGGAGTTAGTCAGCTGTCACGGGCTGCTTCCTGGTGTGTGTGTGGTGTGGAGAGAAAGAGAGAGAAAAAAAAAGTAGTTAGTAAACAGTTGATTGACAGTTGAGAGGCGGGCTGAAAGAACAAAGCTCAACCCCCGCAAACACAACTAGGTGAAAAAAAACAACTAGGTGAAAAAAAAACAACTAGGTGAAATAAAGTAATATATTTATTAAATGAATCATAATATGTGATTTTTTTATTGAAGAATTGCCTATTTTATTTTAATTGAGATATATCTGTAATTAATTTGTGTTGTTGTTAATTATGAACACGTGTTACTCCTTTATGATCCTTAATACATTTAGCGGCGCGACACACATTAACTATCATCAACGTTAATTAAACACTTTTATCCAGTTATGCTCGACGACCAATTAAGTCGGCCTCATTACCTCTCGCGCCAAGAACGTGCTAAACGTATCTTCCTGAAATTTTGAGGAGGGAGGCAGAGTGTAATTTATCGCGGGGAGCTGAGAGATAAAACCCAGGAGTGGAACAGTGAGGGAATTGGATGTTTAATGACATTATTGGGCAATATCCTTCGTTTATGGGACGCTATGAGTAGGAGGGGACGGAGGGGGAAGAGGAGGGGGAGGGGGGGAGGAAGAGGAGGGGGGAGGGGGAGGGGGGATGAGTGTAGTGGGGGGGAGGAGGAGGAAGAGGAGGGGAGGGAGGAGGAAGAGGAGGGGGAGGGAGGAGGAAGAGGAGGGGGAGGGAGGAGGAAGAGGAGGGGGAGGGAGGAGGAAGAGGAGGGGGGGCTTTATGTAGTGGGGGGGAGGAGGAGGAAGGGGAGGGGGGGCTGTGTGTGGTGGGGGGAAGGTGGAGGAGCGGATAGAGGAGGAATAGGAGGGGGAGGGGGGCTGTATTCACCTAGTTGTGCTTACGAGGGTTGAGCTCTGCTCTTTCGGCCCGCCTCTCAACTGTCAATCAACTGGTATACAGATTTCTGAGCCTACTGGGTTCTATCATATCTACATTTGAATCTATGCATGGTGTCAGCCTCCACCACATCACTTCCTAATGCATTCCATTTAGTACTATTCTCACATTGAAAAAGTTCTTTCTACTGCCTCTGTGGCTCCTTTGGTTACTCAACTTCCACCTGTGTCCCCTTGTGCGTATTCCTCCCGTGTTAAATAATTCATCCTTGTCTACCCTGTCAATTCCCCAGAGGATTTTGAATGTGGTGATCATGTTTCTCTGAGCTCTTCTGTCTTCCAGCGAGGTGAGGTGCAGTTCACGCAGCCTTTTCTCGTAACTCATGCCTCTCAGTTCCGGGACTAGCCTAGTGGCATACCTCTGAACTTTTTCCAGCTTCGTCTTGTGCTTGACAAGTTACTGGCTCCATGCTGGGACCGCATACTCCAGGATTTGCCTTACATATGTGGTATTCAAGATTCTGAATGATTCCTTACACAGGGTCCTGAAGGCAGTTCAGATGCCTTTAGTAGTCATTTGTTGGACCATTCCTTCAGTTTGTCTAAGTCATCTTGTAGCTTCAAACTATCTTCCTCTGTCTTAATCCTCCTCATAACTGTTGCATCATCAACAAACATTGAGAGGAACGAGTCTATTTCCTCCGGGAGATCATTTACATATATCAGAAAGAGTATAGGTTCTAGGGCTGATCCCAGTGGGACTCCACTGGTGACACTTCGCCACTCTGAGACCTCACTCCTCACAGTGACTCGCTGTCTTCTGTTGCTTAGGTACTCCCTTATCCAGTGGAGTACCTTCCCTTTCACTTCTGCCTTTCCACATAACAACATTCCACATACGCTCACCCATCACCCTACATTGAAGGCCTGTTCACCATAGTATCGGGCGCATAAACATGATTAAAGAACTTCTCTACTGTGTGTTGCTGCAAGGTACACATGTCAACAGTTTCTGTGCTATAAGTTAAACACGACCCCAGAAGAGTCCCCAGAAAAGTCCCCAGTGGAGATAACAGAAAATGTCCCCCCCCCCAACAAGACCCCCAAAGAATACCCTAGAGGTGTCTCCTGAGGTTTCCCCTGAGGAGTCGGAGGAAGAAAAGTAGACGTAGGAGGAAGAGAGGAAGGAGAAAGCGCTGAGAGTAGCAACAGTAGGCTGAGACAGACCTATATTGACACCTCGGGGGAATAACATGGCGGTAATATCCTGTAGACAGTGAGTGGGGAGGAGAGAGCTGAGGAGGAAGGCGAGGAGAGTGTAAGGAGGAGAGGCGAAGTAGAGGGAGAGAGGGGGAAAGCGAGGGAGAGGAGTAAAACTTAGGGAGAAGGGGAAGGGGAGGGGGAGCGCAGGGAGAGGGGAGAGGTAAGGGAGAGGCTAGCAGAGGGGCGTTAGGGAACACCAACCTAAATAGAGTTAAAATACTTTGTCATATTTACTGAAAGTCTGTGTATGAAAACGTCTGCTGGAGGGAGGAAGAGGGGGAGGGGAGGGGAGGGATGAAAGGAGAGAGAGAGGGAGGGAGAGAGTGAGTGAGGGAGGGAGGGAGGGAGGGAGGGAGGGAGGGAGGGAGGGAGGGAGGGAGGGAGAGAGTGAGTGAGGGAGGGAGGGAGGGAGAGAGTGAGGGAGGGAGGGAGGGAGAGAGTGAGGGAGGGAAAGAGAGAGGGAGAACGAGTGAGAGCGGAGCACCTCCTGCCCGGGTTATTGTTGTCATGTATATTTGCCTTCCTCGACTCAGTAAAAGGGGGAGGGAGGGGGGAGGAGTATTTGCTTCAGTCCCCAAAATAAAGCATGAAAAATGTATTATTTGTCTCAACAATGGGTCCCTGCAAAATTAGAATTTGCTGCTATTGTGCGCATGGCAAACACGCACACTCACTCACTCACTCACTCACTCCCTCACACACACACACACACACACACACACACACACACACACACACACACACACACACACACACACACACACACACACACACATACATACACACACACATGTATATGTAGATTTGATAGAGCCCAATAGGCTCCAGAACCTGTACACCAATTGAGAGGCGGGACCAAAGTGCCAGAGCTCAACCCCTTCAACTAGATGAGTACACACACACACACACACACACACACACACACACACACACACACACACACACACACACACACACACACACACACACACACACTCCCAACATCCACACAATGATGGGAAAAATATCCAGGAATCGGAAAGGAAAACGATTTAAGAGTTAAGAGCACGAACCCTGTCTCAAGTCACATGAGAGCAGCATAACATCAACGGCATATGAGAACCTGACAAACATCCAGGGTAACTCTCGGAAATCTGGACGAGGATTCATTCTAAACACTGTACACAACCTACGTGGGACCGGTATTGAAGTATGCAGCTCCTACATACAACTTCACCAAAATAACACTATAAAAACGCCAGGGCAAGTGTAAGTCCATTAATACAGAAAAATATGTGCTCAAGCTGAATGAACTCCGAGATGGAATAATGAAAAGATTATCTTCGCCTGTAAAGGCTTTACGAAATCTGACAAAGTATGACGAGATCATGTCCCCGCCACTGTGAATAACGCACGCACACTGTGAGCAGCACACGCACACTGTGAGCAGCGCACACACACTGTGAGCAGCGCACGCACACTGTGAGCAGCGCACGCACACAATCCTCTCTAAGACTGTCAGCCACTTGAAGAAACATCCGTTCACAACTAGAGCCGTTAACAACTGAATCTCACCGCTATTTTCCTGGACGTCTAGGCTGGACGTGCTCTGGGATCAGGGATGGTGGTTGGGTGGACTGTTTCAAGCAGTAATGTTTGCGATTTTGATTTGTCGTTCCTTGCTTGTCCACTTTGGGAGGATGTGCAGTGGTAAGGGAAGGCAGAGGGTGGGGACGATGCCCCGACTCAGTATTATCTTTGTACTTCTTAAAGGGATGGCCGCTGAAGCCAAAATCTCTGAATTGTTGTTGTCGTGGAAGGGGGTAGAGGAGAGATGAGGGTGGCTGTTCTTTCAGGTTTTCGTCCACTTTCACTGTCATTCTCTGGTGATGGAAAAGAGGTAGACATTTTTTGTATTAACACATTTAGGTACATCTGCATTTATGTAGCCGTCCTAGACTATATGAAGAGGAGTACAAAGTGTGTTAAGAACTACCTACGTGATTCTAAAAATCCCCATCACATATGATGGTTAGTCATACTGGGGCTTGCACTGGCAAACTCTGGGTACATTATGAGGATATCGAACACGAAAGTTAGTAAAGTAATTCCAAAAGCATGCCTACGGGTCTGAAAACTGGACATTCGGTGATGTAGTGTGGGAGATCATGCCGCAGTTCCTGCTCACAGAGTTTGCACCTGGAGTGCTCAGGATTGGGAGATCCGTCACCTGTAGCCACCTGCCACAAGTAACGGTAACCCAACCTGATCCTGGCAACCACTGTGTCGCACAGTCTGGTGGACGTTTTGGCTGCCCATAAATATAGGTTTCAGATCTGAACAAATCATAGCTTTTTATACTGGTGCTTTCAGGTCGTTGGGAGTCAGTAACTTCTTTCCTATCAGACCTGAGTGTTTGGAACAATATAGTCTTGACAGCAGAGATGGGGATACCTAGAGCTAATTCAACTTCAACTTTGTTACACGCTAATTTGGCTGCAATGTCTGTGTCATTATGATGGGTTATATTTATGTGTGAGGAATCCAGACAAAAGAGATAATAAACCTTTACGCTGTGCAGCAAGCGGGTTATTTATAATTACAATTATGAGGCTTCATCTCCTCGATCTTTTTCTTTGGCATTTGTCGTCCCGTCTGGGGTAACTTAAAACAGTTACCCCAGATTGGTTGATGGAGATTAAGCCACCCAAAAGGTGGCACGGGCATGAATAGCCCGTAAAGTTACCTCGGTTGTTGTAGTTGTTTTAGATTCAGCTACTGGGAACAAAAAGTTCCAAGTAGCACGGGCTATGGTGAGCCCGTAGTGGACTTACCTGGCAAAGAAGCGGTGGGTTGTTACCCCAGACTGAAGCTCTCTTATATACAACTCTTTCCCCTCCCAATTCACGTCCTCCTTGCCTCTCATGCCTCCCCCCCCCCTTCCTACACTCTGCTTGTCCCCTCACCGGTGCCTCCACCCCGCCCCTCACCAGCGGCCCCCCCCCCAACACCCAGCCTGCTAATGGCCCTTGTTCCACCCTCGCGGCCACTTCGCGTCTAATTGGCTATTGTCGGCTAAAAATCCCCGATGCGCGTCACGGCGGATTACCGAGGGAGCGCCATCCCCAGATTGTCCCTCGGCCGGTCCTCCTCACAAGCGTTCCTGGGGCCGAGTCTTGCCGCCGGCCGTGGGGCCGAGTCTTGCCGCTGGCCGTGGGGCCAAGTCTTGCCGCCGGCCGTGGGGCCGAGTCTTGCCGCCGGCCGTGGGGCTGAGTCTTGCCGCTGGCCGTGGGGCCGGGTCTTGCCACCGGCCGTGGGGCCGAGTCTTGCCGCTGGCCGTGGGGCCGAGTCTTGCCGCCGGCCGTGGGGCCGGGTCTTGCCGCCGGCCGTGGGGCCGGGTCTTGCCACCGGCCGTGGGGCCGAGTCTTGCGGCCGAGTTGTTCTTCCTAAGATACATTTAATATCTTGAGCTGCTCGAGAGCATATTGTATAGTTATATAGTTAGGTTTTAGTTGAAGCAGTGTTGGTCAGTCGAGGACACGGTGTACATGTTTAGTGTAGCTGGGAGGCCAACACAGTTAAAGTGTACCTGCGTAGTGTAGCAGGGGTGTCTTAAGAATATATGGCAAGGTGTACTAACGAAGTAGCAGAGAGGGGTAGGGGGGATGGATGTATTAGGGTACGCTTGAGTAAAAGCAGTATAGTACAGAGTTAAAGATACACTATCAGAACTCCCCCCCCCCCCGGGCTTGAGTGAAAGGGGGAGGGGGAAGAGCACACCTCCAAGATCCTCACACACAATGCGCGGTACTCTAGGGTGGCACTCCCTGCCACCTCCTCTTGCACTAATGCCTCCACTTCTCTCTGGTCACACACACACACCAAACCTATCTCCTGAAGCCCACATCAAAAGAATAACATCTGCGGCGTATGCGAGGCTGGCTAACATCAGAACTGCCTTCAGGAACCTGTGTAAGGAATTATTCAGAATCATGTATACCACATATGTATGACCAATCCTGGAGTATGCGACCCCAGCATGGAGCCCGTATCTTGTCAAGCACAAGGCGAAGCTTGAAAAAGTTCAGAGATATGCTACTAGGCTAGTCCCAGAACTAAGAGGCATGAGTTACGAAGAAAGGCTGCGAGAAATGCACCTCACGACACTAGAAGACAGAAGAGTAAGAGAAGACATGATCACAACCTACAAAATTCTCAGAGGAATTGACAGGGTAGATAAAGATAAACTGTTTAACACGGGTGGTACGCGAACAAGGGGACACAGGTGGAGACTGAGAACCCAAATGAGCCACAGAGACGTTAGAAAGAACTTTTTCAGTGTCAGAGTAGTTAACAGATGGAATGCATTAGGCAGTGATGTGGTGGAGGCTGACTCCATACAGTTTCAAATGTAGATATGATAGAGCCCAGTAGGCTCAGGAATCTGTACACCAGTTGATTGACGGTTGAGAGGCGGGACCAAAGAGCAGAGCTCAACCCTCGCAAGCACGACTAGGTGAATACACACACACACACACACACACACACACACACACACACACACACACACACACATAAACATCCATTACCAACAACATTCTCCACCGTTGTAAGGCGGATACCTTTGGGTAGTGCTAATTACAGAATGTGAATCAGTGCCAAAAACGAAGGGAGTTAACTTATCAGGCGACCGGAAGGCGCCGCCCTCGTCACCTTAATGATCTCTCACTCCTCAAGGTAAGAACATGTGTATAGCCAAGTGCACACTGGTAGTGTGAATGTTATAGTCACACTGGGGAGGGGCAGTCACACTGGGGAGGGGCAGTCACACTGGGGAGGGGCAGTCACACTGGGGAGGGGCAGTCACACTGGGGGAAGATACAGTTACACTGGGTGGATACAGTCATATAAGAGTACTCTGTCGATGCTTGTCTTTCGCTGTGTATGTTCCTACAGGTTCACTGGGAGCTACGGCCCTCCTTCACGAGCTTTCTCAATCCCCCATTTACAGCCTCACACATCTCTTTGTCATTCTCTGGCATCCTGTCCTCTCCCGTTTTGTCTGATCATTTCTTCATTCACTGATCCCTTGTGTGTTACTCACTTACACATGTGGACTTGCTTACATGCGTTTGAAGTTGGATTCAGCTTCTGGGCCTCCTGTCTCTTTCTTATCTGTAAGTTCATGCAATGACTCCCTGCCATTTGTTTTTTTTTTATAATAACTTGCAGGATCGATCGTTGGCTCTTGGATCCCGCCTTTCTAGCCTTCGGTTGTTTAGAGCAGTGACTCCTGTCCTTCTTCTCTATCATAAATAGTTTTAAAGCTATGAATAATGTTTGCTTCCACAATGTGCTACTTTAGTTCATTCAATTTATCCATTACTCTCACGCTAAAATAAAGCTTTCTAACATCCCTGTGACTCATCTGAGTATCCAGCTTTCACCCATGTCCCCTCATTCTATTGGTATTCCGTGTGAACATTTCGTCTATTTCCACTGTCAATCCCCCAGTCAGTGTCAATGTACTCACCTAATTGTATTCACCTAATTGGGCTTGCGGGGGTTGAGCTCTGGCTCTTTGGTCCCGCTTCTCAATCGTCAATCAATGGGTGTAATGGTTCCTGAGCCTACTGAGCTCTACCATATCTACATATCTATCATATCTATCATATCTATCTCTGACACTTGTCTGTTAGGTAATTCCTTACTCATACTAATGAGTTATAAGTTTGTTGTACGAGTTTGTGGCACGAGTTTGTGGCACGAGTTTGTGGCACGAGTTTGTGGCACGAGTTTGTGGCACAGGTTTTCATTTAAGAGACCCAAGATGCAGGGACTGAAGGTTTAAGGCTGGAGAACGTACCGGAATTGTCGGTATCAGAGACTCTTGATGTTAGTGACCGGTGGAGCGCATCTCCCCACACTGTTACGTCAGCCTCGTATTTGTGTCCGCGAGGCGCCGTAGTGCCGGAAGGGAAAGGAACGGGAAAGTACCTCCGGGAACACCTTAGGTGCAGCTAGCTGGCGCTTGAGAAGAAGGGACGGAGAGAATTATGGTTTCGGAGAGAAGTAAACTGAAAAGTGATTGCAAATTAAAGAGAGAGAGAGAGAGAGAGAGAGAGAGAGAGAGAGAGAGAGAGAGAGAGAGAGAGAGAGAGAGAGAGAGAGAGAGAGAGAGAGAGAGAGACATGGATATAAACCACTGGAGGATCGTGTTTCCTTGAAGAACTAGTAACAGTTTATCCTGAGCTGTGAAGGATACACCAACAAACAGGTGTCAGAATTTGTCTACTCCTGTACCCCCTGTGTAAACAATAGGAGCAAGATAAAACAATAAGGAGAGTCTAAGTGAGAGTCTAAGAGAGTAATAGAGAGTAGTGGAGTATAAGGAAGCAAGAGTTCCAGGAACTGAGAGTGGAAGAGGGCGAAAGATTGATTAACTAATTAATAATATAATTTAATATAATTCCTTACCACCCGGACATCAAGGCGATGTATTTACATAGCACTTTAGTCCATCGTCACGTAAGATTTACCACTTCAGCTCGACTGCCAACAGAAAGATTAAACAGGAGGGGATGTAGCTCTGTGGCTTTACCTGATCACATAGATGTTATGGAGGAACACTGTCGAATGAATGCGAATTCGCGGGGATGCGAATGAAAGTGGATGAGGGTGAGAGTGTGAGAAGGTGAGTGTGAGTGGGAAAGAGTGCAAGTGAGTGTATGAGTAAGGTGAAGAAAAAAGGTGAGTGAGAAGGGTGGTGCAGGTAAAGTCTTTGGCTATTCTGAGCCCCATAATTATATCAGTGTAGGGAGGGAAGAAGAGATATTTTGGCGAAGTACCCAACACCCGCCCCACACCCTGCTGGCACTCCCAGGCACTCCTCTCTTGAGTGTTGCACCATACGTCACCCCACACACACACACACACACACACACACACACACACACACACACACACACACACACACACACACACACACACACACACACACACACACACACACACACACACACACACACACACACACACACACATACACACACACACACACACACACACACACACACACACACACACCACACACACACACACACACACACACACACACACACACACACACACACACACACACACACACACACACACACACACACACACACATACAGGACTGTGAAGGACACATAATGGACCGAATTTGTGTCCATTCCGGGGGTTAAGGTTCCCGCGGCCCGGTCTCTGGCCAGACCTCCTGGTTGCTGGTCAGGTCAACCAGGATGCAGTTCCTTGCAGCCTGACGTATGAATCACAGCCTGGTTGATCAGGTATCCTTTGGAGGTGTTTATCTCTTGAACACTGTGAGGGGGTCGACCAGTTATGCCCATTACGTGTAGTGGAAGCGTGTTGAACAGTCTCGGGCCTCTGATGTTGATAGAGTTCTCTCTCAGAGATCCTATTGCACCTCTGCTCTTCAATGGGAGTATTCTGCACATCCTGCCATGCCTCCTGCCATTCCATACCTAGTCAAAGCTTTCAAAATGATGTTATGTTTCATACGTCAGATGGGCCCTGTAGTATACAGCACCAATATAAAACTTCACTTTAATAATTACAAAACGAAGTTTCAGGATGTAAATTGGATGCTACCAGACTGAGGCTCTGAGAAGGCCACTATCTCTCCATGGATTGTGAAGAAAATTCTGAGACAGTAATTTAGTCATCCTTTCTTCATGGATACTGAAGGTGCTGAAGTCCTGGGCAAACCATTAGCCTGCCGTGAATGCCGAAATAATGGATTGCTGCCCTCAGCATGCCACTAGTAATGATTTATATTATATTACCCAAAACAGATGATATATGAGACATCTGAAAACAGCGATTAGTAATATTCAGAAATATGAGACAAACGAAAAGCGATGGAACTCTACCCAACTTTTAGCTCTAATCTGTCAATAGTGGAGCACTCGGTATGTTTAATGGTTACAAATGGAGGATTGTTTGCCTCTGGTGTATTGATACAGTCGAGAACTGTGTTCGCTAATAGGGGGTTTTCAAGTACATCTTCAGCAGGCAAATAAGATCGTTGTATTTTCCGTCTTTCAACATGCCTGTAGATCTTTGTCTACTTTGGGGTAGATTTTATGTGATTTTTTCTACTACTGTCTGTTGCAGTAGTTTGCAGCAGACAGGTGGGGCGGGGGGGGGGGGGGGAAGACAAGTTTACTGTTGCCTCGTACTGTTGAGGCCCGAGATCGTATCTCCGATGATCTAGGTGAAGGAAATGAAGTGAAGGTGTGAAAGTACAACGATATATTGTACTGTAAATGTACCGAGAGGTATTCCCCCCATTGTACATTTACCAATGTACCTTAATTAATCTTGGACTTTGTTCAAGGATAAAGTACATTTGCTGGCTGGTCAGTAAGTTATGAATTTGATTTTGGGTTTGATCTGAGATAATTATTTTTTTTTTGTTTTACATTCTAATACTTAGCTTATTATTTTTCTGGTTAATCTCAAACCAGTTACAACTAAACTCAGCAACAACCATCCCCAGTTGCTACCTGTCTACCCAACTACAGTTGCTACCTATCTACCCAACCACAGTTGCTACCTATCTACCCAACCACAGTTGCTTCCTAACTACCCAACCACAGTTGCTACCTGTCTACCCAACCCCAGTTACTACCTATCTACCCAACCACAGTTGCTACGTGTCTACCCAACCACATTTGCTACCTGTCTACCCAACCACAGTTGCTACCTGTCTACCCAACCACAGTTGCTACCTGTCTACCCATCCCCAGTTGCTACCTAACTACCCAACCACAGTTGCTACCTAACTACCCATCACCAGTTGCTACCTATCTACCCAACCACAGATGCTACCTATCTACCCAACCACAGTTGCTACCTACCTACCCAACCACAGATGCTACCTATCTACCCAACCACAGTTGCTACCTAACTACCCAACCACAGTTGCTACCCAAATAATCAACTTCCTCCTTATAACCCCGCTCTTCAGCCTTCATTATTCTAGTCAACTTTACCGTTTCACGTCCCCGTCTCCTCCCCTTCCCTCTCCATCACCATTCCCCCCCACCAACTCCACCTCCAAGCCCCCTCCAACTCCTCACACACCCCGTCCTCTCCAATTCTACAATCACATACCCACTTAAACGCCATTGCTCCGTCCTGCTCAAACTCCAAACCCATGTCCCCTTCAACTGCTTCCTAAGCCCCCTCGAACTAGGTGAGTAGTGTGTGTGTGTGTGTGTGTGTGTGTGTGTGTGTGTGTGTGTGTGTGTGTGTGTGTGTGTGTGTGTGTGTGTGTGTGTGTGTACTCTACTAGGCGAGTACACTCACACACTCCAACACTACCCCAACGCCGTCCCCAGAGACCATGCCTGTAGTAACTGGGGGCTCTAGGTGCTGTTTCTGTCAGTGACGAGGGTGGGTGAAAGGGGGGGTTATGGGGGCGTTGGGAGAGGGAGGGGCAAAGGTCGGGGAGCTGTGAGGAATAATGTGAGGTGTGAGGTCCTATGAGAGGTAATGAAGGGTGGTGAGGTGAAGCTGGGTGGAGGTAGAGAATAGTAATGGCCATTATGGGGGTGATTGAATTATGGGTTTGAGGGGTAAATTTGACGCGATGAGAGAAGGTATGTGAGAGAGAGAGAGTTGTGAAGTGGATGAAAGAAATACTTCCTTCATTTAGCTACAGATTAAAAAGACGTATCTCTCCCATGAGCTTCGACTCAAAAAGATATTTCTTTCCCGAATTTCGGATAAAATAGATATTTCTCACTTTCCGGAGGTGAGATTGATCCGGGGTAGGAGAGATGTATTCATATTCAGTTCATGACATTCGGATTAATGAGGTGGGAAAAATATCTTCACTCATATGTTCAGAACGCTGAATGACGTCATTGTTCATATCATCGAGATTTCAAAATAATAATTATTTGGACTAACAAGACGCTGAAGTTATCGTTATTCGAACGAACGAGACGCAAATATGTGCGTTGTTCGTATTAACGAGAAGGGAGAAGTGTCGGTGTTCAGATTTTGTGAGAGGCAGAAATACACTACATGGGTCTCTAGGGAAGGGGGGGAGATAGAAGGAAGAAGGAAGAGCAGGTATAGAGGGAGGAGAAGAGACAGAGGATTACGAGGAGGAGGAGGAGAGAGAGATTGGAGTGAGAAGAGCAGTTAGAGAGATAGTGAGATAAGGAGTGGATGAGCGAGGGGAAGGAAATTTAGGGAGAAGAGGGAGAAGAAGTCGCTTGTTGCTGGGGTGTCGAGCCACCTACCACCATTCCCCCATGAAAAGGGATGAGGCAGCAGAAGGGGTTGATTGGACATAGTAATGGGTGCTGGGAGAATTTATTAAGTAAAGGGAAGGCTGTTAGACCCCTCTGGGGGAAGGTTTCCAGTAAATTATGTGAGCCCGAAATGGAAGCCCACAGCAAAATGAGACTTCAGAAGCCTTCAAGGAAATACTACAGAAATGAAAGGGATAATCAAGGGAAATTACAGTAGGGAGAAAGTTAAGAGAAAGGCCTCTATGAAAAGGGAAACAGACCGACGGGAATCGCTGACTGGGACCCCAAAAGGCAGAACATCTTTGCAAATGAGTCGTTGGGCCCACTAATGGGATCCCTTGAAGCCTTTTCTGGAGTGGGTAATGGCTTGGTGCCGCCCTGTTAGGCAGACCAGCCATGCATATTGATGGTTATGTGTTTATCTTTAGTGAGAGCTGCCCTGATACTACCCTCGCTGAGAGGGAGAGCTCTGAGAGGCTCTGAAGAAAGGGAGGAAAAGGAGTACTAAGAGAGAGGAAAGTTAGATAATGAGTGAAGGGGGAGGGGGGGGGGGAGAGAGAGAGAGAGAGAGAGAGAGAGAGAGAGAGAGAGAGAGAGAGAGAGAGAGAGAGAGAGAGAGACAGACAGACAGACAGACAGACAGACAGACAGACAGACAGACAGACAGACAGAGAGGGAGAATAGTTATGAAGAGAGACAGGAAACTCGAAAGCGACGAAGAAAGATAAAAGAGAAGAGAGATGAATATTTACGAATACAGAAGGTCCAACATCGTGGGTCGGTGTGGGCATGACAACGGGCACAGATAGCGAGTGTGGGCACTGGACTAATCATATTAGTCTCTCCTGGATCGCTCTCCTTCAGTCGATGACTTAGGGAGGAGAGGGAAAAGAATGGAAAGAGAGGCGGGGTGAGAGGTGGATGGAGAAGGAGAGTGAATAGAAAGTGAGACACGGCAAGGGAGAGTAAAGCACCAAGCCAGTATCACTAGATACCACGTGGAAATGTTGTGAGGACAGGGACCTGGGATTGGATGGAGGGAAGGAATATTGAATGAAAGGGAATAGGTTTACGAATACGAAAGAGGAATAGGAAAATAGTGTTTACGAATAGGATGATGTAAGAAAGAGGTGAGGGGGAGGTAGCGGGGGATGTGGAGAGAGAGAGAGGGAGGGGGGATGTGGTCCACCAAACTTTCAATAAAAAACATTCGTTTGCAGCAAGTGCCAAGACTGGGCCAGTTAATGTCAACACACACACACACACACACACACACACACACACACACACACACACACACACACACACACACACATGTATATATATATATATATATATATATATATATATATATATATATATATATATATATATATATATATATATATATATATATATATATAGTCAGAGGAATGTTTAAAGATAGGCAAAACAAGTGACCGGACATAATGAACTATTTCCATCATCTACTACCATTATCTTTTGGCCTTTATGATAAGATGGCGCAACTCAGCATGAGATGACGGTGGACATTTATATGGGAGTGTTTAATGTCAAGTGCTTCAGCAATGCTCACTCTGCTTATATATTGGTGTCACTGCTCAGGATTTCTGTGATCATCTGCTGGTGTATAGAAATGATGTGACCGTAAATGCAGTCTTGTTGTCTATGAACATCTTGAAAGAGATGTAGTCTGGCGATATAGTGAGCGCATCGGGACAGGCAGACATCAGGTGGGCAGGCTAAGGCATAGACATAGCATTAGTCCACCGAGGCATTATGTTCACCGTTGGCAGAGATCTTCATAAACGAGTCGGCAGCCTGTTTACTTGTTCGAGTAAATTATCAGCTGTTTCTTTTATTCAGTGCTGGCTGGGGGAATATATTTTTTAATGTCTTACATGACGCTCTCTCTCTCTCTCTCTCTCTCTCTCTCTCTCTCTCTCTCTCTCTCTCTCTCTCTCTCTCTCTCTCTCTCTCTCTCTCTCTCTCTCTCTCTCTCGTCAGCCACATAAACTAGTTCCTGTAATATCATTTTGTAACATAGACATGTTCTGAAGCACTGATTTCCTCAATAATGGAAGCCTAAGAGTTCAGGCTTCCTTTTGACGACCCCTTCCACCTGCCCATTAGCATATACATTGCGTTCCCTAACATCAGTTCCCCCTCACGACCACTCCAGCCCCCTCACTACCACGCCAGCCCCCTCACGACCACGCCAGCCCCCTCACGACCACTCCAGCCCCCTCACGACCACGCCAGCCCCCTCACGACCACTCCAGCCCCCTCACGACCACTTCAGCCCCCTCACGACCACTCCAGCCCCCTCACGACCGCTCCAGCCCCCTCACGACCACACCAGCCCCCTCACGACCACTCCAGCCCCTCACTCACGACTACTCCAGTCCTCCCACGACTACTCCAGTCCCCCCACGACTACTCCAGTCCCTCCACGACTACTCCAGTCGCCCCACGACCACTACAGCCCCCCCTCACGACTACTCCAGTCCCCCCACGACTACTCCAGTCCCCCCACGACCACTACAGCCCCCTCACGATAAATGGCCCAAGTTTGCCATTCGCCTGCCTGCAGCTTCCTTATCTCGGGAAAGTTCACACGATAAGTGGAGTTATACCAAGAACAGAAGGCTTCTTCAAGAAGTTGTGTCATCTACGGTGATCCAGCTGTTTCGCCGGCGGCGGTCACGTGCTAAACGACGTCACAATAAAGTGTCGCTCGACCCAACAGTCGCTCTCAAGGCTCCAGGGGCTGGAATGACTGCAACATTGTATTATTCAGACATTGCTCTACCTAATACAGAGTCGACACAGCAAACAGCACTTGACCACCTTATTGCTTGGACACAACACTGGGACCTCCAAGTTAGTACTACCAAAACCTGTTATCAGATTTTCACTAAAAAAAAAAGACTTGTTCGTCTACCCACCTTCACAATACTCAACACTCCCATCCAACACGTATGACAACATAAATACCTTGACATGCACTTAGATTCGCCCTCACTTACCTGGAAAGCACACATGCAACATCTTACCCTGGAAACACAAACCGAAACTGTCTCTATTTTCCGCTTGTTACAACTTGAAATAAAGTTGTTACATCTTGGCTTAACGTGTTTATGACGCATTAGAACGTTGTTACAACTTGCTATATTGGTTGTTATAACTGGTTAGGTGGTGTTAAAACTTGCTCGAACGTTGTACCAACGTCGTAGTTTCGGTGTGTGTTTGGTGGGTTAAACAGACGACACAACCCCGACTCACCATACTTAAAGTCCCTCACTGGCACCACCTGGGGAGCACACCATGATATTTTGCACCGTTTCTATGCAACCAACTAGACTACTGTTGCCAGGCATATGCGTCGGCTGCACCTACTAACCTACAGAGCCTTGAGGTCATCCAAAACAATGCCATGCGATTTATACGTGGCGCAATGCGTTCCACTCCTATCCTCGGACTTCAGGGGGGAAATGGGCCTCACAAGCTTAGCCACCAGACGAGACATAATGTGTGCCAACTATCTGTCACTCTGTACCACTGCTCACCAGACACACCCATACAGTTCAAACATTAACCCACCAGTTAACCCACACATAACCCCTCCGCCTCCCCACCAATCACTCGCAACCTTTCCTCACACGGACTACAAATAACCTCAATATAGACCTCACTTTACTCCTTAACTCTGAAACCCAACTTACTGTTCCCCCTATTCCACCTTGGCTTTATACAACTCCTAATACATCAATACAGCCGGAAGACAACATTCCAAAGTCTTCACCAAACTCAGCCATAGCCTCAGTCCTTGTCGCAATAATTAAAAATTACTACCCAAATACCACAGCGATTTATTCAGATTTATACTGAAGT